AAACCCTAAACCCTAAACCCTAAACCCTAAACCCTAAACCCTAGACCCTAAACCCTAAACCCTAAACCCTAAACCCTGAACCCTGAACCCTAAACACTAAACACTAAACCATGAACCCTAACCCTAAACCCTAAACCCTAAACCCTAAACCCTAAACCCCGAACCCTAAACCCAAAGCCCTGGATAACTGAAGCCGCCGACTCAGCATCTGCGCCCCAAGCAGTGGTTCCCGACGGCAAATCCCGGTATACCCCGGCTTTATTATATATTAAAACAGAGTTTAGATTTAGGGTTTAGGATTTAGGGTTTAAGGTTTAGGGTTTAGACTACTGTTGTATTTAGGGCTCGTTATACACATTGGCGAGCCTATTTATATTGAGTGTCCTTTTGGGGAGACTAAGAAGAAAAAAGCGCCACCCATGTACACTCCCTCCCTTCACCCTCAAAGCACCAGTGAGCACCCGCAAGCCCTGAATCCTACTTGGAGGTTCCTGGTACTTAGTAACCAATTATAACTGTACTTATAGCCCAAATTATAACTCTATTAGGGCACTTAAGGGACTTCTAAGTACAGTTATAAGTACAGTTATAATTGGTTAATAAGTACCATGAACCTTCAAGTAAACCCCACGCTCTCCCTCAAAGCGCCCGTTGCGCCGTTGCACTGAAGAAAGGCGAACCGCAACCGTGGCTTCGACATCACGCAGTGCGTCATGGACGTGACCAACTCCGCCGCTTGGCGCGAAACCCTAGCAGTAAACCCTAAACCCTAAACCCTAAACCCTATAAACCCTATAAACCCTAAACCCTAAACCCTAAACCCCAAACCCTAAACCCTAAACCCTAAACCGTAAACCCTAAACCCTAAACCCTAAACCCTAAACCCTAAACCCTAAACCCTCGCGGGCGCGCAAACGGGGATTCAGCGAAGGACCGGATCAAGGCTTTGCGGGTTTAGGAAAGTTTAGGGTCTGTAGGGCTTGGGTCGAACAGTAATGGCTTGCTTCTGGCTGGCCCTTAGGACTTTAACTTTTTGGGTTCTTGTAGAACCTGCAATAAGGAGCCTAAAAGTTAAACCTTTTTTAGGAGGGGTTCAGAAGTCAGCCAAGTCCTCATCCCCATACCCCCCAAAAGGTATGCGATGGTAAAGGAAATTCGGCTCTAATCATCCTTAAGAACATGTTTTAACTTTCGGAGTTTATGCTGCAGGGTTTAGGGCTTAGGGTTTAGGGTTTAGGGGTTTACAGGGCTAAGCCCAATTCCCTCATTCCCAGGTAAAATGCCAAGTATAGCCCTGCTGCAAGTCCGGTGATCCGGCAATCGCAGACATGCCTGAATCCTGAGTTGTATCACGCCGAGGGTTTAGGGTTTAGGGTTTCGGGTGGTTTACGCTTTAGGGCCAAGACACCAAGCCTTGCAGACCACAAGCAGAGCGGACCAAAAGACCTAAGCCCAAAAACCCCAACGCCCAAGCCCCAAGCACATGAGCCGTCAACCCGAAATCCCCCACCAAATCCCTCACCCTTGAAGCCCCTAAAGCGTCCCTAAGGTCCAGAAGCCCTTGACCCTCAACGGGCCCCCGAAACCCTAAACCCTAAACCCTAAAGCCTAACCCCTAAGCCCCAAACCCTAAACCCTAAAACCTAAACCCTAAACCCTAAACCCCAAATCCCCTCAACAGGCCTCCTACATCGTCCGCGTCATCCTCCAGATTCGCTCTGCTGGCAGCTCCTGTCCCGACCCGAAGCCGCCGGGCAGCGGTTGCTAGGGAGCCCTCGTTTCAAGCCCCAAGCCCTGATCCCGAAACAGCCCTAAAGCCTAAACCCTAAACCCTAAACCCTAAACCCCAAACTTTTTAGGTGGGCTTAATATGGGTTTATAGTGGCTTTGTGGGGTGACATGGTCAGGTCTCAGAATGATGGTTTCTTCATTGGGTACCCGAACTACTCGGGTCTAGGGTTCGGGTCTAGGGTTTAGGGTTTAGGGTTTAGGGTTTAGGGTTTGGGGTTTACGGTTTAGGGTTTAGGGGCCGCCTTATGATAAGGGCCCCCAAAGGGACTCTTTGGGTTTCATGGGCTCGTGGGCTTGTGGGAATTTCGTGTTTAGGGGCTTCAGGGGCTTTAGGGGGCTTTAGGGGGTTTATTTTTTTTAAAACAGGTTTTGGGAATTTTAGTGCTTGTGTTTGTGTGGTCGTAGGGTTCACGGGTTGATGGGTTCATGGGTGTTGCAGGGTTTAGAGTTTTAGGGTTGATGGGTATATGGCCAGGTTGCAACGCTTGGGGTTTGGGGTCTTGCCTTTTATTCGGAAAGTTGGCAGGGTGTTGGAAAATTTCATGGCTTGGGGGTTTAGTTTGGCTTATGGCTTCTGGTCTCTAAGGCTCAGGCTCAAAGAGTGTAGTCTCAGGGCTGGAGCGCACTAAACCCTAAACCCTAAACCCTAAACCCTAAACCCTAAACCCTAAACCCTAAACCCTAAACCCTAAACCCTAAACCCTAAACCCTAAACCCTAAACCCTAAACCGAAAACCCTAAACCCTAAACCCTAAACCCTAAACCCTAAACCCTAAACCCTAACCTAAACCCTAAACCCTAAACCCTAAACCCTAAACCCTAAACCCTAAACCCTAAACCCTAAACCCTAAACCCTAAACCCTAAACCCTAAACCCTAAACCCTAAACCCTAAACCCTAACCCTAAACCCTAAACCCTGAACCCTAAATTGGTGCAGAGCTTGAGCTTCTACTTGCCAGGCTTGTGTTGCAGTTTCAGAATTTGAAAATCATGAGGGGTTGCAAAGACAGCCCACGACCCTAAAACCTCAAGAAAGATGTGCCTGCGTGTCATTCAGAGCAGCAGATCATGGTGGCAAATTCGACATAAACCTTCCACCCGAAAATCTGCAGCCCATTCCAGCTTCTGAGCACTAAACCCAAAAGCCCTAACCCTAAACCCTACACCCCTGAACTCCTAAGCTCCATTCAATAGTATCCCCTGTACTGCAGTCACTTGTATCAACGGTATACTCACGATCCGTGATAGTTTCCTTTGCTAGAGCAGATCATCTGATGTTTCATATCAACCGTCGACCACTGACAATTCTAGATTGACAGGTTTTGTTATTGTTGAGAGAAAACTCAGAGCAAAACAAAATGACTTTTGAACCCAACCGGCCCCTTGCATCGGCTCCCGTAAAGCCCGTCTCATACCCTAAACCCTAACCCCTGATCCCTAAACCCTAAACCCCAAACCCTAAACCCTAAACCCCAAACCCCAAACCCTAAACCCTAAACCCCAAACCCTAAACCCAGCCGAGGGCTTGCGCTGTGGGAATCATGCGCCTTTGCTTGGGCTCACATTTTCGGTCCCTTCGGATTTTGGGGCTTTTGGGGGGGCTTACGGGGCTTTTGGTTTCGGGTTTGGGGTTTGGGGTTTGGGGTTTAGGGTTTGGGGTTTGGGGTTTGGGGTTTAGGGCGTTATATAGGGGGGGATATAGGGTGTTTAGGCTTTGGTGGTGTCAGCAGCCCTGAACCTAAACCCCCGCAGGGCCAACTCAGTTCGGAGACTTTACGTAATCGTCTCTTGCATATGGGCATTTCCCAATTGGGGTACCCCTAAACCCTGAACCCTAAACCTTAAACCCCCAAAAAGGGTACCCCCTTTTCTCGGAAACCGCCATATGTAATTGTAGTTGAAGGTCTAGGGAGTTCCCGAGCTTAGGGTTTAGGGTTTAGGGCTTAGGACTTAGGGCGAAGATGTTGTAACGTCCGTTCAGAGACAAAGCCCAAGACTGTATCTTTGAACAAAACATCAGCACATCGACTTCTCCACCCTCAACCCTCAACCCTCAACCCTCAACCCTCAACCCTCAACCCTCAACCCTCAACCCCAAACCCTAAACCTTAAACCCTAAACCCTAAACCCAGCGTGACTTCTGAGAGGTTCCTTCTAGGCCAGGCAGCGTTCGGATTCAGTTCCTTTGCTCAGGAAGGGTGGTAGCTTGGACTGGCAGAGACTGGCTTCTATGGGTTTAGGGTTTAGGGTTTGGGGTTTAGGGTTTAGGGTTTAGGGGGGCGTTAGGTTGCCAGGTACTTAGGGTTCAGGGTTCAGGGTATTCAAATCTCATCATTCAGGCTTCGGTTTAGGGTTGGAGGTCTAGGGTTTACTTGGAGGTTCATGGTACTTATTAACCAATGACAACTGTACTTCTAACTGTACTTATAACCATATTGGGGCACTTAAGGGGCTTATACGTACAGTTAGAAGTACAGTTATAATTGGTTACTAAGTACCATGAACCTCCAAGTAGTAGTAGAGTAGGTAACCTTTAACCTTTTTGGGGTAATAGAATCCCCTTAGAATCCCAAAGGTTTTTAGGTATTTGGGGTTAAGGAAACCTGCGTTTGGGGCTTAGCTTTCGGGCTCAGAGTTCATTGTTTGGGGTTTGGTGGCAATTTGGACCCCAAGGGTTTAGGGTTTAGGGTTTAGGGTTTAGGGTTTAGGGTTTAGGACCCTGCTGGGGACCCTCCTTGTTCGTGGTGGCTCCTAAGGAACATCATCTCCTCCTTTGCGTGGATCTCTCAATTCACGCCATGAGCCAAGACTGATCGGGTTACTTAGGGTTTCTTAGGGTTACGTATTCGGGGGGGTTCTGGGTTGAGGTATAGGGTCCAGGGTCTAGGGTTTGGGGGTTTAGGGGTTTAGGGTTTGGGGTCTTCCGTTGCTGTAGTTTGCGTTTAGGGTTCAGGGTTCAAGGGCCGGATCTGCACTCTCAGCGCTCTGCACCGTCTGCACCCGACACCTAAACTAAGAAGGTCTTTAAGGGAAGGGGATTCAAGGAGGGTATGTAACCCAAGGTTCCCTTATACTCCCCACTACTCCCAAAGGCTCCCTAAACTTCCATAAGGTTCCCTAGGCACCTCCTCCCATGAAAACCCCTCTCTTAATTATTAAAGACCCTGGAATAAGTCCGAAAACCCTGCTTTCCGCATGCACCCTTTGGTAAGGGCCCTCGCCGTCTCTGACTGCCAAGTGGGTGCTGACCAGAAGGCCGAGATTCCAGGGTTTAGTGTTTGGGGGTAGTTTAGGGCTTCGGGTCTTGAGCACGTCAGCTGCTTGTGAATTCCGTGTGTTGCGGGCTTAAGTATTCAGAAGCCTGGGTTCCTGGACTGGCTTTCTACGCCTGAAAACCGCCTCCTCCAACACCCAAACTCAAAAGCCTAACGCCTGCCCTAAATCCCTAAGCCCCAAAGGCTCTGAGCCTCGAAAGCTTGTACGGGTTTAGATCATTTCGGCCGAAACCCTAAACCCTAAACCCTAAACCCTAAACCCTAAACCCTAAACCCTAAACCCTAAACCCTAAACCCTAAACCCTAAACCCTAAACCCTAAACCCTTGAAATCCCTAAAGGGTCCTTCAGCCCTCACCCCTTCGAGTCTTCGTACCCTGAACTTGGGGTTTAGGGTTTAGGGTTTAGGGTTTAGGGTTTAGGGTTTAGGGTTTAGGGTTTAGGGTTTAGGGTTTAGGGTTTAGGGTTTTTAGGGTTTAGGGTTAGGGTTTAGGGTTTAGGCTGCCCCCTATGAACCCCCCCTAAACCCTAAACCCTAACCCCTAAACCCTAAACCCCAAAAACCCTAAACCCTAAACCTAAACCCCAAACCCTAACCCTCAACCCTAAAACCCTAAACCCTAAACCCCAAAACCCTAAACCCTAAACCCCAAACCCTAAACCCAAACCCTAAACCCTAAACCCCAAACCCCAAACCCTAAACCCCAAACCCTAAACCCTAAACCCCAAACCCTAAACCCTAAACCCCAAACCCTAAACCCCTAAACCCCAAACCCTAAACCCTAAACCCCAAACCCTAAACCCTAAACCCCAAACCCTAAACCCTAAACCCTAAACCCTAAACCCCAAACCCCAAACCCTAAACCCCTAAGCCCTAAACCCTGAACCCTAAGTCCAACTCTCGAAGACTTCACCTCCCTGCCAGCGCGAGGCCCTCTGCACTGCGGACATCTCGGCCCCCTGGAGTTGAATCGGGTTTAGGGTTCAGGGTTCAGGGTTTAGGGTTTAGGGTTTAGGGTTTAGGGTTTAGGGTTTAGGGTTTGGGGTTTAGGGTTTGGGGATGTTTAGGGTTTAGGGTTTAGGGTTTCGGGTTTTGGGATGTTTAGGGTTTAGGGTTTGGGGTGTTGGGTCTAAGCTCCGGGGTTTGGGTTTGCGGTGCATCTCACAGGTTTTGGGTTTCTGGGGATTCCGGGTTTTTCGGGTTTTTTGCGGGCTTTCGGGTGGCAGGTTTTACAAGTCCAGCATCCCCAAAACCGTGGTCTAACTATGAAGGCCCTTTGGTGGCACCTCTGGCAGGCCGCAGGGGAAGCTGCGCAAGCTGCTCATGCTCGAAGTTTTGCCATGAAGAGGGTTTAGGGTTTAGGGTTTAGGGTTTAGGTTTAGGGTTTAGGGTTTAGGGTTTAGGGTGTAGGGTTTAGGGTTTAGGGTTTAGGGTTTAGGGCCCAACCAACACACCGGAGATGATGAGCTGTACGGAAGCTGCCCATGAAGCAGGGTGATGGAAGAGTGGGCATGGTAGCTTGGGATGGTGCCCCTTATACTAACAGTCCTTAGTAGGGATCATAGTACCTCCGGTTCTAATCCCTACTAAGGACTGTTAGTAGGAGGGGAAACATCCCAAGGGCAGATGGTGTAGGCTTTAAAGGTTTAAGGGTCTTGAAGGGTTTGGGGTTTAGGGTATAGGGTGTAGGCTTTAAGGGCTT